TACCATTTCTATTACCTTGAAAAATCCAAAAGGAATGATGGAACAGCTACACAGGTCTTCAAACATTTTTTAGTGCAGAAATGCATAATTTGAGGACATGGGGCCATATTTGGACTCCAAAGAATTCTAAAAGTTGTTATCAGATTATAATGTTTAATATAAAAAGGAGCATTATTCTTTATTTAATGTTAGGCTTAAATGTAAATGAAATAAAATAAAATTGATTTACGTTTTTATCCTGGCTCCACCTACTATTTTTTGGAGCATGTCAACTCCTGACAGGTCACTCAATAGCCACGTGCAGCTCTTGGCTCAGAAAAAGCTGCGTACCCTGCTTTAGTAACAATCTAAATTCTACAACCTGATCTTTCTTATTAGTAATATTTCAGAATGGCAGCAGAGGGCTCAATAAATGAAGCTATTCCAAGTCCCAGTGCAATGATACTGATCAAAAAAAGTAGGAGAGCAAGAGAGAGAACCAGTATCTCACTCAATATGAACTCAGGGATATAAACATGGTATCTAGGAAATATGCTAAAATTCAGCTATTGTAAAGGATGATGGGTTCATCCTTCATGTCCAGTGTATTTTTTAAACTTTCTTCAGCTGAAGACCTTAAATACTTACCATCCCACAGAAGGTGTTATCTGTCCAACTCCACTGGGAGGGAGGGAATAAAAACCAGAAATATCTGATGTTTGAGAAGGACGATGTACACCTAGCAGAAAATGAAAACATGAGGAAATTTAGGTTAGCTTTATTTCTAGCTTTATTTTGAGACATTAAAATGGATTCAAAAGATTCATGTTTGCTAACATTCAGTAGCCAGTTAATTCATCTACTTTCCCTCACCTTGGTTTCTCCCCCCCCCCCCAGCGTTTTTCCTGCAGTTCAGGGTCCATTTTTTTCAGATCAACCAAATGTTGGTCCATTGGTTGCAACAGGAATTGACCTACTGGCTTGCCACCCGAGCCTGACGCCATGGGCTGAGAGAGAGTGACTGGCCCAAAATCACCTAGCCAGCTTTTATTCTAAGGTGCAAGTAGAACTCACCATCTCCTAGTTTCTAGCCTGGTGCTTTAACTAGTAGACCAAACTGGCTCTCAAACTCACCTTATTTCTCCTGCTGTTTATTACCAAGATAAATATTCTTGGCCTTTCTTAGCTATAACATTTTTTTAAAATAAAAGTTGCAGGCAGGTAATCTAGATGGTGTGAGGCATAGAGGAAATGAGTGGAAAAAAAAGTAAAGATAAGAGAAAATGAATAGAACATAGTCAAGGTAGGGCTATGAAAAGGAAGTAGTGGGGAAAGTGAGTGGAACACCCAATTTATCTAGAGTACAGAGAAGATAAAGTTGGTGTTGTGCATAGTTGGGCAGAAGATCTAAATTTAGTGATAGATAGTGAATAAATTGCATTTAATCAGCAAAGATTTTTGAAAGATAGCAAAATTTCCCTATTTTTAATGTTGTGGATGAAAACCTCAAACATCTGCAAATTTGGGCACTTCACATGAAGAGTATTTTCAGTGTGTAGAGAAGAAGACTATGACAAATCCATTTAATATCTGCAAAATCTGCATTGTTAGAAACAATGCCAAAATAATACTCAAAGGGGCTTCAGATATAGACATTTTTCCAGTTTCACACCCGCTTCTTCATAGTCTCTGTGTTTGGTAGCATGCTTAACCATGTGCAGTATTTGGTTTTGCCATGGTTTTAGAGCTTGGGGTGGGGGGGAATGAATAGGTAATTGGTAATTATTGCAGTGAAATTAAAAAAAAATATTGGCTGTTCCAAACAAACATACTGAGAAATACTATGGGGGAATATCTTTTATATCTCTCACAGCAAGTTCATTCAGGAATGTCAGAGTGAGATTGGATGTAAATGTCTAGGAAAGCCAAAAACCATACAGGATTATACTATCTCTGAATGCAGGTGGAGAATGGGCTCTCTGAAACATGTGCCTATTGGTGAAATGAAGCCAAAGAAGGAGGAGAAGGAGAAGAAGAAGAAAGTGTTGCTCTGTGAAATTCTATGCTAGCGTTAGACTTCTCTAAGAAGCCACACTGCACTGTGGGTATGGGTTGTCTTTAGAGTATATGAGGGAAGATACGTATGGAAGACACAAAAGGTAATGTATAAACTCTAGTAGGCAATCAGGTTGTGAGAAAGACACTATGCAAAAGAAGGAAAGGGATCACTTTTCTCATATGCTTTTATTCAGCTGGGTTGGAAAATGCCTTCTCTGACAGGATCCAAGCTATGTGAAAAGATAATGCAACAGGAAGAAGGATTTATTCCTAATCCTTTGTGAACATGCCAAGTCAGAACAAATCTGTGAAGACTGTGCCAGGTATCCACTATATCTGTATTAGTTCTATGAGTAGATATGTAAGAAATTCAGCATTGAGACTGGTAGGTAAGTAGGTGATAAAACTACCTCAGCTGCAAGTGAAACTGCCTGTAAATCTGAGTTTTGGATAAACTGTGGATTATAAATGAAACAGGATTTTCATTAGTATTCTCACTCTCGCCACCTTTTCATCCAAACAAAGACTTTTACAGACAAAATGAGAGTCTTACATTTATACTTGGGTGCATCTATAGCTTTTCTGTCTATATATAAATAAACGTATCCATTAATTCACTTAATTAAAAAAAAAATTCATGGAGTTTAAAAAAGCAGTCCTAAAAGTATATGTGATAAAATATATAACTCCACTAATCCTAATATTTATCAGTCAGTTATTCAACTCTGTCTTGTGACAACAAACCTGGGTACAAAAAGGAAAAAAAAATTGGACCAATAAAAAAAATCTCAGTTGTCAGTTTCATATTTCACTTTTGATACTTTTGTACCATAGTTTCATTTAATTTGATATTCTCATTAGTGCAGAAATATGATGATCATATGCCTTAATTTATAGATCAGTGCATCACTCAACACCCAATACCACATGATGAAGTTGTAATTAAAATCAGAAAATTAATTTATAATAGAATTTTAAAGAATTTTATTACTTGATAGTAATTTGTCAACCAAAGGAAGATGTCACAACACAAGGAACAGAGCTATGACCTAGTTCTCATATATTACAATGGGCTTTGAAGAGGCATCTTATGGAACTACTACTGAACTGAGTTGCTTTTAGCCTCCACCATATTTGAACAGATTGCCCAATCATACCATAATGCTATGGGATAGCTCATAAAATTAAATCCCAAACAGATAAAGCTATGGTGCAATCAAATCTACTATTTACAGCTTGAACCTAGTCACTCAGGGCCAAACTAGATGAAAAGCAAGAGGCTCATGAATGAGATCTTGAATGTTTTCATTATTTTGATGATGATGATGATGCTACTCCTGAAGGCATAACTTCATTTTCTGATCTAAACAGTTCATCCCAAGGGTACCTGGTTTCTTCTTTCCAATACATCCTATAATATGAGGTTATGCTTGGAGTTCAGTCATGAAATGGAAAGTGGTGAAAAGTTAGAATATATTTACTAAAACATCACTCTTTCTTGATCTACAAATTGGGTTTCCAACCAATAGAAGTACTGTATATGTTAAATCCCAACACAATTTTTCTATATACTTTCAGGTTTGTTATAATGCAATAAATGTGGGTTGAGCCATTTCTTAGGCACAGGGAGTCATACCCAGTCAGACAAACTCTTGAGGATGACTTCAGATCAGCCAAGATATGCTTAGCTGATGATATGAACTTCTGTGAACTGGCTGTTAAGCCAAAGGACTTAAACTAAAACATATCGTCATTTTTTTTCAATTAAAAAAAAAAAGGAATTTGAAGCTATAGGGTATTTAACTTTCTTCCTAAACTGCAGTATCATGCATACTCCCAGTGATCCTGTAATCTGCTTCTCAATTCTTAAGTACAAAAACACAGTGCTTTTTGGGTATTTTTTAAACATTACTTTGTTTACATCTCTTGGAAGTTTAGCAACAAATCAGAGGAACTTTAAAAGGAAAAAATTGATCTCCCAAAAAACAAAGATTACTTACTTCTGTTTCTCTGCCCAGAGTGATCTCTTCCTAAAACTGCTGCTCTTTCAAACACCCATAAGTCAACAGCTCTAATATGTTTGTTGGTACAGAGTATGCAGTTAGACCTTCAAGAGACGTGAAAGTGGTATGCAAAATGGGCAGAGTCTATTATGAATCACAGACCTGGAAGGTGAAAGTTTGTGGCAGACATTCCAAACTTCATGACTGTGGGTGAATGCCCCACAGCTTAAATTTTTTAACCCACATCTTTTTTCAAGAGTAGTATCACAGTAGAGGTGAAGAATTAGTTACCTTGTTTCTGGTTGATGTCGGCTGGCAGGTGTGGTGAATGGGAGCCATGGCTGAAATGTTCATTGCTATATGGGATGAGTGGGGTGAGTGGATGGACCCCATGGGATGGCTGTACTACAGGAACCTTGTTAGACTGAAAAACAGAAGTCAGAAGACAGGATTTAGCAATGGTAGCCTTTGAACTACCAGTAAACTGGGGGTGGGGGGAGAAGAACCCCAGTCAGAAGCATCCGAAAATGTCTCTCTTCACCACTAAATTACTTATCCTCAACGACAATATGATTTGCTTGCTGGACAGCTTTCGAGATGAATATGCAAACACTCACTCTTCAACAGCTGTATGACAGTGAACAATTAATCCAGTCTGACTATGTCTATTGGTGAGATAGCTGGAATGAAAATGAATTAGAATAGGTTTGCCAAATGTAGGATTTACTTTAGTAATTGCCATGCTTAGTAATTAACTAGCTGAATAGCGCTCTTGATGTGTGAACTGTTTGCCAGCATCCCTCAAGATGATTTTTTATGACATGCTCTTCTCATGTAAAATGCTTACCTCCATCGGCCTGCCTAAATTAGCATGCCAATTTACTTTGTATACATTTGTATATCAATTTACTTGCTAGACATTTACCTTTACCAATGGGAATAAGGAAGCATTTCTGCACTCTTGGATACAAAGCACTTAATCAAATCTGATAACTTTTAGAAGTTTTGAACATGTTATAATGGCTTCAAGGGAGCTTTTCAAACTCATACTTTTTAGAGATGGAGAACATGAGTTCTACTACATGTTGTTGAACTATAGTCTTCAGCATCTCTCATCGTTAGCCTTCTGGGAATTATTGTTATTATTCAGGACTATGCTGTAGAAGGTTGTGACTATGGGAGCAAAGCCATTATGTGAAACTGGTGCTCCTCTATACTGTATAGTGCTGATTCCAAGGGAAGACTTAGGAGATTGGAGATCATATATATAGTGTCATAAGACTTTTAAACACTGAAGTAGATCAGGGCAAGCCTGAAGAAAAGCAGTTCTCAAGGTACTGCTGATAAGTCCTATGAACAACTGTGAACCTGCACAGTTGCACAAACATGTTCTTTGTGGGTCACATGTGCCATCCCAACAATGTTTTGCAGGCCAAATTAGTGAGGAACAGCACAGAGGATGTGAGGTTGATGGGCTGAGTTCTACAGAGTGATTTTTCAACTGTGGAATTAGAGTACTGTCATGTGAAGTTACTCTATATCAGTCAACTATTTTCTAAAGGCCTGACAATATAGCACAGTGAGGTTTTGTGAGGACTTTTAGTTTATTCAAGCTTGAAAGAAATGCATCAAACACATTCAGTTCTGCCTTATCATGTTAAAGGAGGACAAGATAATATATGCCCACATGTTGCACTTATTTTTTTGGTTGAAAAGAAAGTGTTAGGTGAAAAGATTAGATTGAAAACTATCAACATTTCCCAACTGCAGCAAATTCAGAGGAACTTGTTTTCAAAGGAAAAATAGTAGTTGTGCTATTAGAGAAATGCATACATGAATCTTCCTGCCTGCCTCAAGCATTCTTACCATTTCATACTTGCCCAGTTTCGCCCATAGTTGCCTTTACATTGACACTAACAATACCAACACTGGAAAAATTGAAGTTTGTCATTCTGAAGGGCCCTCAGAAAAGTACTTGGTGGGGAAAAATAAGGACTATCAAATGCAGGATATTCACTGATTACCGAAAATGGAGTCTTGCAAACTGCTCCATGCATTATGCAAGTCCAACAGAGAAAAGAATTACCAAACAAGAGTAAACAAGCAAACCATTATATCTAAGTTTGATACTGACACACCTGATGTTTTGCATAGATGCATAGATGAATATATTCAAGGCAATCAGTATACTGGAGTGGAGGTGGAGAAGTGCTTAATATCATGAGCTCAGCTTGCACGTGCAGGAAAAAAAAATATGCGTGATGACAAAGTTCCAATTCTCAAATTAAATTGGGTGGAGCCCAAAGGACAAGAATATGTTTTGATCACTCAAGATATATCACTATTGTATAATCCATAAGTAATGTCATCTGTACAAGGGGCCACAAATCAAAACATGAAGCAAACAGGCCACATTAAAATATATAGATATTAGTTAGTTGTACATACACAGGAACTAAGCTATTTGCAGATCTATATGTACAGCAGATAATGGGTGACTTTGGGCCAGTCACTCTCTCTCAGTCTAGGAAGATGACAATGGCAAACCACTTCCAAAAATGTTGCCAAGCAAATCACATGGACTTGTGCAGGCAGCCATCAGCAGTCAAGACTGACTTGAAGGCACAATAAATAAATACATAATCATTTTATGATTAGGACATCTTATGTCTTCTTATGGAAATTGCTGCAGATAGAAGCTTCACACCTCCATTAGTGATGGTGGGGTTCTGATCTACAAGTAGAAAGTAAACTGGCTCTCCTGCATAACAGATTTTTGTTAGGAGGCAGCATGTACATTACTGTAACAAGGGCAGCAGAGAAATACAGTACATGTGATAAAGTCTTGGATTCACTCTGACCTCAAGGACAGCTTCTCTTAGGGAATGGGGTTGTACTGTGCCCTCCACCTACTACTGCAGAGGGTAAGGTGTTGAAATGAGCCAAAGGAAAGGGTCTACAGCAGTGTTTCTCAACCTTGGCAACTTTAAGATGGATGGACTTCAACTCCCAGAATTCCATGGCTGGCTGGGGAATTCTGGCCATTGAAGTCCACCCATCTTAAAGTTGTCACGGTTGAGAAACATTGCTCTACATTGTGCTGAGCAAGCAAGACTGAGTAAGTAGTTGAAAAGGTGAAACCCACCACTGGAAGTTAGCTATGGCATCCCAATCCATCTGCCGTGCAATATCAAAGACTCTTTGACAGATGTCGGCTTTAGCTCTCTCTATTCCGAGGGGCAGCAGAGTAGACAGAAGGGCCATTGTAACACAGGCCAGCTGAGATTTTTACTTTCCACCTTGATGAAAATTCATCAAGAAGGCCAGTAAGCCAAGGAACCCAGGAGTTTAAGCTAGTAAGAGAGTGGCAAATGTGGACTCCTTTTCACGCCAGTGGAATCATGCCAGCTTCCATGCAGATTAAAGCATTTTAAATGCAGTGTGAGATTCAGGAGAATACTCGTAGGTACCTAGACTGGACAATGTCTAAGGCCTTGGAATCACTGTAGGCACATATCTACGCATCACAGAGATCTGGGATGTAGTTTTAGCTTTAAAAGCTTGATGGAATGAAAAACAAGCAAACAAAAACCAGCACCAAACCCAGGAATGCCTTCATGTTATTGCTAACTTTGGCAGAAATGGCTTTAATTTATTCCTGCTTGTAGGCTTGAAAAATTAAGCTAAGGTTTTAAAAAACTAGGACTTGTTTAATTTTAGTTTTTCCAATTTGCAATTGATCCATTGATGTTTGTGGCAATTAGCTCCCCCACCCCCAATATATCGATACAGATATATAACATTTTGGACTTAAAGATTGATTGTAAGGTTTCCTCCCAAAACTCCTCTAAGGCCCACAGAACTTCTCCTGAGGCCCACCTGTGTAAGCAAAAGAATTGCTTGATCGTAGGCATACGGCAGTACTGCCAAATGCCTGTCACTAAGTTTAGGAGGGTGGAATTCCTTTTTTGTTAAAGTAGCTTCACATAGATATTAAACAACAGGGGAGCTAGAATGCAACTCTATTTCACTTCTTGACTGACTGGAATGTCTGCAGCAAGGTGGCCTGGTCTATTACATCTAATCTGGGTGACTGTATTTTCAAAAAGTGTCATAATTAGAAAGATTGGCCGCTGAACAATGGATGTGAGGGACAGCTTCCACTAGCATCTGTCCCTTAGAACAGAATCAAAGGCCAATGAAGACAACACATAAACGGCAATGTGGCTGATGTGTGTATTTCTCGATTAAAAATTGTACGATGGCATACTGATCCATTATGGAATTGCCCTCCCTAAATCCTGCTTGCTCATCAGTTACGTCCTTTTCCTGGTCCAGCCACTCCAATAATTTATAATTTGAGAAGTGGGCATATGGTTTACTAGGCTAACTGACCAATAGTGTAAAAGGTTTGTTTGTGTTATGGCCATTCTTAGTGATGAGAACAGTTATAGCTTGAATACGTGTGAAAAGAGAGACCAAGACAGGGCCCCCCCAGTCAGCATTTCCCTCCAGTCACTCTGCTGGTATAAGGTCCCAGCCATGGGCTCTCCCATTTTTTAGCTGGTTCATTAGTTGAAAAACCTCTGAGGGGGAGACCAACAGCCAGGGAGGGATACAATGAGGCATCTCATATAGAAACTGGCAAATAGGGTGGACCGAACAACCTCTTCCTTTATGCATTAAGGTTTAGAAGAGAAACTGCCCCCTCTGAATTAATGGACAGATATAGACAACAAATGTCAGAGCCATGAAAGAATTGCAACTAGTCTTTTTTCCATTTGCCCAGAATAGAATTTTCTGAGTTCTTCTGCAAAGGCTAGGCTATTAATGTTTTTGAAGATCCAGGTAGCTCTTAGGTTTAGTTTCAGCCTCAAACCACAAGACATTCCAGATTTTTTAATTTAATATGGCAACCAGTCTCCTATCATTGCTTTTTTCACTAATTAAATTCCCATATTAAGCCTGCAAAACTACTGACTGTGGCCCTAATATAGCATCATGAGAGCTTCTGCTACTGCCAGCTTTACAATGCCTAGAGCTCTCCATCAAATTAACAATGGAAATCAGTCCTATGTTTCATCCAGAGGCAGCAAGTGAGGTACAGATGGGTGGGCCAACTAAATTCAATGAGATTTAAATAGTGAAATGTATAGTGCTGCAGCCTGGAGAATAAATCCTGAAACTTAGAAAGAAAGGTATAACTTTATTAAGATAAGAGATCTCCGACTTCATTTTTGATCTGTTTGTATCATAACATACCCTTGATCAGAGCTGCCCTATGAAATTAGGTAGTAGGATTTAAATTCCACTTGCTATAAATTAATATAAGAATTTGGACCAGCTCAAGAGGTTTTATTTGACTATTCTTGCATCTGATAAATTAAGAATTTGCTGCCTCTTCTCCTTACAGACAGTTGTCATATTATATACTTTGAGATACCTTTTCTGAACATGGGAAGGTGTATAATCAGAAAACAACAAGTGTAACTCAAGCATTATTTCATTCTTTCCAAACCTTTGGCCTTCAAGACATAATGGACTCTATCTCACTCAACATGGCTATCTAAAGAGTTCTATGTACCACAGAATCCTGTAGCATCTTAAAAACTAGCACATTTATTATCATATAAGGATAATACATTCATCATTAAGGTACTAGAAGGCTGTATTCTAACACATATATCCTTCTGGAAATTATTGCAATACATTCTGCTGACCTAATTTGGGTACAAATTTCTTATTTCGTTACATACTGTATATCTGGCACTTCCAAATTTATTATCTAGTGAATGTTCTTTATCAATATGTTTATTTATTTAAATATAATACATCAAGAAATGCAGGTTTCAT